GCATGTAGGAAAGCGAACACAATTTCGTTCGCCCGCCGTAGGGCGGGCGAACGAAAAAAACAAACTTCTAAATTGAATTAAGTTCTTGTTTGACAACCAATCCAGCAGATAATGAAATTATACTACTAAATGTTTATCAAAGTTAAAAATTGTTTGAACCAGTCTGGTATGTTGATTTTATGGTTCGTAACATTTGGGTCTATCTAAAGCAATGCATGCTCAGGCCTGTTTTTTTCCCTGTCGCTTCATTTTTGAAAAATAAAATCTGAGAACCAACAACAAATCAAATTGGTGTGGCTTACCTACTTCTATGCACCTTAACCAAAACAAGAGGCTTTGCTCTGTTCTGTACACGTGAGTGCTTAACAAGGACATCTCATTTTACAAAACAACGTCAAGACATGACAAGATAAAGAAAACCTAAGATGTTCCTCATGAAAACAACACATATGGCAAGTTCCTCTACCAACTATGACTGACTTCTTTATGAAAAATTACTTTTAAAACTACAATGACAAGATATAGAAGATAGATATCTTGAGTATTGAGTAAGTATAATGCAAGAGTACTGGAGCCACTGAAAAGACTTGACATTTTGAAGGACATAATAATAACTAACTACAATACAATGGCTTGTTTATGACTTTTTTTTGTGTGTGTACTAGATTTTGTAACTCGTTGTAAATCAGATAGCAGATGACCTGATTTTCAGCTGAATGTTTGTACCAGGTTTTGTGACACACCCCAGTGAGTTAAGACCTGTATTCTTGTCCCTGACATGTTGACAGAGAGTCTTCACTACTGAGTCATCAATACACAGTCAGGCATGCAGAAAATCAGCTAAACTTAGAGGTACTACTCAATGGTTAGTTATCTACTTTGCAATAAGAAAAAAAAAACTTCAGAATAGATGGGAAAAGGCTGATAGTGGTAATGTATCTTTGTTTACTTACTAGATCACAATTAGGTTTATGGCTTGCTGTCATCATCATCATCATCATCATCAATATAACTAATGCTGTTAGTGTGGCCAGTTACAATAAATCAAATCATTTTCAGAGGGACTTTATTTTGCTATAGGAGACAAAAAATGTTTCCTGTGCTTTATAACTTTGTGGTTGAAACAGTTTTGTACAGTAACTGCAGTAAAAATACAATGAAGAATATGATGTATACTTGACTAATTGTACGTGCACTAAGCCAAAGGTACTAGTACGTATTTCTAATTTTGTGTACGAAACCCATACATAAATATCTATATACCAGGTACACCTACAGTTAGCCTGGCGTACGTAGAGCCAAAAATTAGGTGCACAATTTCTGGTGCACAAAAGCATATGTGCACATACAATTTCAAGCCCTAAGCCAACAATTTCAACCTAATGCTAATGCCAAAGAAGAACACATGTGCGTTCACATGAAGGACTGGACTCTGCCATTTTGTGGACAGTGCAAATCTAAGGGGAGATCAGCCCACTTGATCAAACAGCTGAGAACAAATAGGGCACTCTGCCTTTTGTGAGAGGGACATTCTTTCACCTAAGATCAAGAATAAGATGTCCCAAAGATCTCTTATTTCTAAGATCTTCAAATGTAGGTCTTAAGAACTGAGAGACACTTTTCAATCTGTTTTTGTTTCCTGTATATTATCTTGGCTGTTTCAGTTTAGTTTGTATATTATGTACTGTTATTTTGACAACTATGAATAAACAAAATACGAATACAGAGATTTTCAATATACTTACATCTACATGTATCTCATGCCCAGACACTACATTTTTCCCTTATAGTTATATGTAACGTTATATACTGCCAATGAATATCTAGCACTATACTTAAAAGAGACTGTATCATCTTGAACACAAACTTGTAATATACACACTTCATATTAATATCAATTGTTTAACTATGATTATGAGACAATATTTCTTCTGCTGCCAAAAATATCAAGTGGTCCCACTAGAAAGGAGGTTACTAGTACTGTTAAACTGTTGACTCTCTAACCACCATTAGACTTGCATGTAAACAACACTGATGATTTGTGACATTGTAAATATGTGGAGAACTACTAGTATGTGTACGTGCTCCCAAAGTAATTTCAGGGCAGTAAACCTGGATTTTCAAAGTCAATTTACTGGTCATCCTTGCATGGTCAGTAGTGGTCAGTCTTTACAGTTTACTAGTGGTCCACCAGTGGTGGAAATACTTTTTTTCAGTGCTCTGCAATATTGCAGAAGAGTCAAAATTTTGTTCTGCAATTTGAAAATACTTTCTGCAAATACACAAGCCTCCATACTACAACCTTCTCAAACCATTAATGTCTTTTTTACATCATATATACTAATATAGCTTTGTAAATCTGTAGCATTACTGGAATTCTTTTAAGTTTAATCTATCACTCTTTTTAATTTCAGACTTTATAGATCCTTCTCCACAGAAAATTTATCATTTACTGGTATCTTCACGGGTCTTTCACCGCTGTCTCCCACTACAAGCTACTACAACTAAAATCATACCTTACCTGTAAATGTACTAGTAATCACACCCACATATCATCCTTCCACACAACATACTAATAAAAGACACACCAAAAAAACAGTACTTAACTCTTAAGCAACTCGATATGATTTATGATTTTGTTCCCTACATTTAGGTTAAAAAAACCCTAATAATATTTTTGTTTGAGAACTGGATTTTGAACATTTTAGATGTGGGATACAGGTCAAGTATTATTTGCATTTCACTCATCATTGTTAACATTTCTCAAGGTGTCAAATGTCTCCTTAAAGAACGGCTGCCGAGTCCTTGTCTTCTCTGGCGTGAAACTAGGTCTTAAGGATCAATCAACGCACAAAGAAAGACTCCGACTTCATCCCTATAATATAGACAACCTGACCTACTTCTAACTCTCTAACAAAAGGCAGATTTTCCTGTATTTTGGGACCACAAGCTTGAGAAATGGTTGAAGCTTTTCCAGTTTTTCATCAGAGGTTTACTTAATTAAAGGTTGAATTGTGTTAAATTTTGTGTACAAAACATTATATGTTGTTAGTTTTGACTGCAAAAAACCAACTGCAGTCACATATTTACTTATGGATTGCAAAAGAGTTTAAAAACTTGCAAATTATCTTTCAACTAGACAACATCAATCATTGTTGAGGAATACCCAACCAATTACTTGATATATGTGAAGTCCAGATTCTATCTAAATGTTTTTTTTTGTCCAACAATAGTTCTTTATCATGTGATGAATAACTCCCTAAATCCCTAAACCAACAAAACCATCCCTACAACATCACAAGGGCCTCTTTCTACAGAACATTTTCATTCCTATCTTTTCCCATGGGACATTCTTGTCCACAAATAACAGGCAGCCTACTTATAATGATGAATACCTCTACAGACGCCCCTGGGGCTAAAAGTTAAATAAATCCAGTTCTCTTCACATCTATGGTAAACAGAAAAGGACAACTGACTTCTGTGTTGCCTCCACAAATTGAAAGAAAGACCCTTTTCATGTCCTTCATAATGTGGGTCCTACATTTTTCATGTCACGGCCATGTTGTTTGGACAAGCGAGAATTGTGCGGTGACCTTTGCGAACCGTGTAACAACTAGTGACTTGTTGCTTTCTTAATTGTTATTCATAACCTTAAGCCAAGCTTCCGATGTCTTATAAAATGTCCTCATCCAGAGTATTTCTTGGTTTGATGCCCTGAAATTGCATGGTATGAAAGAAAGCTGAATTTGCCTGTAAAATGTGCCTACATGCTAATATATAATTCAACACTCCAGCCAAGGTTAAAAGATCATTGTGTTAGTAATGATGGTGGTAATAAATTTTACATGTACACAACCCTTAAGAGCACACAGTGCAGGGTAATATGAGTATGCAAATATTCCGTTTTCAGTGATATCAAGTGATATTAGAAAAAATATTTTGCTTTAATTAGACAACTGATTTTATCACAATCATAATGAATAATATTAATAAAACCTTATTTACCAGTTAACAACACAAAAACATTTTTCATGGTTAAGAATATCATTAATTACATCTATGTATAATTTTGAGTACCAAAACTGTATTTCTAACATTACACATAATATTAAATTCAAATTGCATATTACATGTACCTTAAACATGCAATAAAATTTGTGTGGCCTGAACATAATTTTAGACCTTACGTAATGATTGAAAAATTATCTGTAACAATTAAAATAGTTGCATATACCGTGTTGTGCAATAAAGTTCTGCTGTCAACTTATAACATGTAACTGTTAATTGCATGACATGATTTACATCCCAGCAAAGAAAAACATTGGAAACAACATTTTAGGTTTGGCAATGCTCAAGTACAAGTACACGCAATGACATTCTGTAGGATCGCAACAAATCCGTTACTTGATACCAAAAAACAGCCTGTTTTGCAGACAACTCACGTTCCAAATGTAAAAATAAACGTCTGCTGAAACTAATATATTTTGCAGGCGTTCTTTATGGGGTGGGAGGGGGGTGAGGTTATGGCTACGTGTCAAAAATAATTCTGCCATAGTAAACAAGCTGTTGGTAACACTTGATTTCTCTAAAATACACAAATTACAATACAATAAGACTTACAGGCTGGTATGAATATAGATCATCATGCAAAAACGAGTTAAAACTCTCTGTGTCTGATATGTTTTAGGTTTTGGCTCCGATACAAACCGAAAACTTTGAACTTCAACTGGGCGTGTACATGACAACAGAGATGAAAGAAGGACTGAACTAAAAACAGGATGCCTGTCCATACAGTGACTTTCACCCTGAACCAAAGGGTAACGGGAGATACCGACATAAAGTCGCCTGTACCAGTCCAGATCGCCAGCAATTTTAGGAATGAGAAAGTGTCATATATAGGACAACCGCCCCCTCCCACTCCTCTTAAAAATCTCTCCCAAAAACGGGTAGGTTTGTGGCGTGATTCTACGTCTTTACCAGAAGGGTGGAATTGTTCTCACCTTGTGCGCGTCTGTTGGGTGAAGTGGAGTTGAGAGGACGGTTAAACGGCGTTTGTTTGGGGTGTAAGAGCAGAAAACAAGCGTCCGTTCCTGACGCCCCGGCCCCGAGGATCTGGTTTCCGCCTTTCCGCTGACAACAGGCTGCACGGATCTCGCGTTTTCTCGCGTGACTTTAATAAAAGTAGTATAGATGGTGCTGTGTACCCACTGTTTTATTGGTGGACGTGTTGTCTGTAAACATAAACTGTCGGTTGGATCTATCTCCAAGGAGGCATAAGGCTTGGTTTTTCGTTCTTAAGTAGTATTTTCTGCATTTCTATGTCTCTCTTTATGTATGGACTTCTTTCATCTGTATTTGCATGATGCTGTTTCATTCAAAACATTAACGTTAAGGGTGAGGCATGAACATCTACAGTTGAAAAGTGCCCAAATCTTATCCCTTCTTTTATAAAACAAAAAAGAGCAAGGCCTTACGCTGGATCCCATTCTTCTTTCTTAAGTAGTGTGGATTATATAATGTTGTAAGGATGTTAAGCATGGACAGTGTAGTCAGTAACGTTACCAAGGACAGTTACTATACCAATATCCACGAGACCACGACCACACATAACGCCGTAACAAAGCGAACTAGCAGCCACATCTGCAAACAAATGCAGTATAGTTCACTCCCTTCCCATGCAAAATGGAAAGTTACATATCAATCCTTTACATCTACCCCAAATCAAATGGACTATACGATCATCCCCCTACTCTAGAATGGAAAGTTCTAAATTTGAACCCCGTACAAAAACTAACCCTGTCCTATGCAAACATTCTTCTGCCAAGATACTTTTCAGAGTTACACCTTGCAGAATGCAAAAGCTACCCCCTTATCAAAGTCCAGGTCAAACTACTGACGCTCAGCCGATGCCTGCAGGGCGTATTCATCCCGCTAGGTGGGGATGTTGACCGTAGGCCTGCCGAAATTTCAATCCAAATTTCGTCTGCTCTGCTTCAATGTGTCATCAAATCGGTACATACGGGATGCCACCAAGCGGTTTTGATGTAAACTGGAGGTATAGTTATTGACTTGGCGTAACTATGGACGAACAAACATGCACTCGAAATTTCTAGACCCACCCAAACCTAATCCTTGCGGACAGGTCCCTTAGCAACTGGCAGACCCCCCCCCCCACTTGGTACCTAACCTTTAAAATTTTATCATGTCAAAAAAGCCTGACAGTTTTTTTGGCAACTGGATATGAAATAAATGGGGTCCGTGTTCCACAGGTCGGCTAGTATGTACAGAGTGTCACCTGCGTGGCACTAACTTGGCAGTGTGATTGTGATAGAACTAGCCGGTTTGACATTTCACCTCTATTTAGATATTTCATTGACGCTTAGAACTACATGTACTTGTAGCTTTGTTTAGCGTTATTTCAAACCCCACTTCATGTTAATGGTATTTTTGGTTGATGCAATTTTTATAGAGAACATACTAGTATCCATTTCGACGTTTAGAAAAAGAGAAAAGGGAAAATTTTGACATCAAAAAGTGCATGGTTTTATCAGTTAGTTAAATTCCTTTCCTGCGTGGGTGTGTATTTATCTATGCCTGAATGCGTGCGTGCGGGCCTGCGGGGCATTCATTGGTATTTGACAGAGTACTTAATACTTTACTGTACAAATATACAATTACTGGATTTTAACGACAAATTTAATGTTACATGAAGTTCAAAAAGTAAGTGTTGCAGGGAAAAGATTGTAGCGAGGTGTGAGTCATGTTGTCATTCTTTGTGAGGTTGAATTAAGACAGCTATAACGTTAATTGTTATAAAGTTAAATCAAGTTTTACTTTCAATCTTAACGAATTGGACCTTGATTCTCTCGTATGGACACACCCTTAAAATGGAATGCGGTGTTCAGGGAGTCAAATCTGGATTTTTATACTGTATGGGCGGTACCTAAAAAGTTAAGGGACTCCTCGCGTAGGTCACTTCAAATATGAAATAATGACGAAAATGTGCTACAAAATCAGACATCAATACATAATTGTTACTTTTATACTATAATTCAACAATAACAAGCACACAGAAGACTGACTGATTGTTGAAAAAAAAAGCTTTATGCAACGGTATATATGCTTGATGTATAAAATACTAATAGTAACAGTCTTCTTTTGTAAGCTAGGCTACCTTAACACGTTTCTGGCCAATACCTCAAGTGTCACAGTTTATTTGGTTTAACACTATTCATAATTGCAGTTTTGGTAAACAAAGATCGTTATCACAAAATAACTAACAGCATAATTAGCCAGATACTGAAAACCAACAATAGTAGCAACTTTTTCAACAATGGCGTCTACATCCGGGTACTTTTAGGATGACGTCCACATCCTGGTACTTGTGTGATGACGTCTACATCCGGGCACTATGCTATGAAGCAGGCGACCCCCCCGCCGATGGTGAAGAGGCCCTGGATCCAGGTCAGGTAGAAGGAGTAGCCGTAGGGAACACTGCCGACCGAGTTGTTCTCGTAGTAGCCGGTAAAGGTGGCAGCGCAGATGAGACCACATACACCTGAGGAAAGAGTTGGAGGTTTTGAACCATAAACATGTGCTACATAAACATAAACATAAACATAAACAATAAACGTATGATTGAAGAAAAGTTCGCTAAAAAAACTATGGATCTTTACATCTTCAAGTTTTATGAATTTGTCTGGAGTTCTCTTTTACGAGCTATACCCTTAAAGTCATAGTCAATGCCACACATGGCCAAACATGGTCTCCCAATTTTCTGCAATGGTTAAGACTTATTAGTCCTGAGAAAAAACATCTGCAAAAGTTTGGGAGTCTTTAGTTTACTTGCTTTAAAAGTAGCGAGCCGTAAAATCAAACCCGGGAAAGCTATATTATTCTTAGACGAGATCAGAGGAGCAAACTCATGATAGAATAGGATTTCAGACTACTCCCAACCCAACGACGACCTAGCTTGGTTGGGAACTAGTCGGGAGCCAAGTCGTGAGAAAGTCCTGAATGTGTGTATAGGTTCCCTACCTGCTACTGCGATGAGCCCACCGGCAGTTCTCTTCTTGTTGACCCGGGTAAAGAGGCTGTGTTTGACGGCGTGTACCACCCCGGCCAGGATACCCACCACCAGCAGCAGGGCGCCCACAACCGCGAAGAAACGACAGGCGTGGTAGGCGCCGTTCAACGAGTCAATATCTGTGCAAGAACAGTAAAATCACCTCATGTCAAAATGGTGATAAAAGAAATTAGCCTCTACCAGGCTTCTGGAGGAGGCTGGAAAGAGTAGAAATCGGCCAAATATAGAGACAGCATGCCAAGGGAGTTTGGTCGGCTGGAGAAAACACTTTCCCGTTTATCTCTATTTGGCCGATTTTTACTCTTTCCGGCCGCCTCCTAAGGCCTGGTAGAGGCTAAGAAGAAATTATATTCTAAGGAAAATACGAATTTTCAATACCTCAAATCTTGGTTGCTAACTCTAGCACTAATAAAGGCATGGCTATGTCTTGTTATCTCCAAGCATTGGGTGGCGTATTGGACCCTCTCTGGCCAATGGATACTGCCTGGTCAATTTGACACTGTCTTTTTCCACCCTAGGAACTACTTGGAGATTACATTTCTTGTTCTTTTTAGGGTTGGTTAAGACCTTAGTATAATAAAGTTCATACGTCCCCCTGTTCATCTAATTCGTTCAAAAAATCACCATAGAAAATATTGCTGACTTTTCCATTTAAAAACTTAATCCCGTCCTGTTTTGTCAAGAAATCTCTCTTTCCCCTCTTTTTTCTCGTGAAATTTATAACGTGTAAGATATCAAGCAAACACAGTGCACTTTGACACCTGTGTCACTCTAACCCTAGCTGGTTGACAGGTAACGGTGTATCCATTCCGCCTTGTTGCAGAACAACGCTATGTGCAAATAATCAGAGATAAGGGCATGGGTGGGGCTGTTTGATCAGTGTTTTGTCCTTTGTAAATTTTAGGGGTGCTTGATGTTACGACTGGAGGTTTTAATGCGGTAAAAGGTAAGGGTAGTCCCATAGGTTTTTTCAGGCTGTAGGGACAATGGGTTAACGTTGTTTATACACTGTCTTTTTTTTATATTCCAACATGTAATCACAAGACGTGGTGACGGCACACTCAAGTTTTTTAAACTTATATTAATGTCGCCACCAACACGGGGGACAATACAATACTCATTTTCACCTGAGCGAAGTGAGGAAAGTCGCGTATAAAGTGCCTTTCCCAAGGGCACAAGATCGGTGGTATGTCAGGACTCGAACTCGGGACCTCTGGGTTTCGAGTCGAGCACTCGCTACGCCACACGACCCCAAACTGGAGCTTGTAAATTCGGTAACAGGTAAGGGTAGTCCAATAGCCTTTTTCAGGCTTTAGAGGCAATGGGTTGTTCATACACTGTGTCTAGGGCATGGTATTGGAAGGTGGAGCCCATCCCTATCCTTCCACGGCCTTTTACCTCCCAAAATTAAGCCAGGTGTAAAATGGGTATTTTACACCTGGGTGGAGGTTGTAACATAATGATTTACAACATAAAACGCCGTCTCCACCCTGAAGATGTATTTGCGCTGTCACAAAGTAATATCCGGGTTATTTGAAGAATCTGTTGAAGCAACACTTAAGATAGAACCAAAACACTTCAGATCCAACACAGGTACTAACTATGTTCCCCATTGCGTCCTTAGGAAAGACAGTGTAGTATCCAGAAGCGTGCTTCATTCAGAACCATGCTCAGTTCTGGATAGTCTACGTGTAGCCAAATCCGTGCCTGGGCGAAATATATCGCTCTTTGATACGTGGAGACTAAAGTATTCAGAACCGTGCCATCCTAACCATGACCCATTCAGGCATAGAACTCGATAGGTACCAGCTTTTGGACACACTTAACACGACTTTCCTCACTCCACCCAGGTGTAAATGGGTACCTAACTTCGGTTTGGGGAGGCAAAAAGATGCATGAATGAAAGACACTCCCTATACAGCTAACAGACACTGCCTACAGCTAACAAAGACCTCCAAACCCATTTGACCTTTACCTCACTTAACTTTTTTCACCCATTGACACATACCAGACTGTGTGCCGAATACGGCATTGTCTATCAAATGACGTCAATGTGACGTCAGAGTTTCGTAGGCGTGGCTAGTAAAGATATGCACAACACACCTACACTCCACCCAAATTAAATACTCGGACCCTCATGACCCAACCCTGGTAACGTTTTGATCCTTGTAAGATTTGACAAACACCCAGATGTCAAAGTTTCGCATTTTTGACTGGTTGACATTTCCGTTAGGCGCACCTTTTGAAAGATCAACGTCTTTGTTTGAGTTTTGGGCGGGTGGGTTTTTTTCGTGACAAACCTCCTTGAGAGTCAACTCCTTTCTTTTTCTCCGTTTTCCCGCGCTTTTTTATCGTTTCATTTCCGATCAGACGCGCACGTAACACACGCCCTAGACTTGTTCGAATCTCCGAACAGGTTTTTTGGTGGATACGAGACTGTATCAAATTGCCACTGACAATATCTATTTACCACCAATTCCGTTGGCGAAAAAGAAGCCCGATAAAAACGCCTAAACAACACCTAAGCCTAAACCTCTGCTACAAGTGTGCCCCTTTCCCCGAGTTTTCAAGTAAGACAATTTCAGAGACTCGGAAAGTAGTAAAGAAATGGAAAAAATGAGCAGTTACTTGTAGATTGCAAGTTGCATTTTTCTAGGCCTATAGGACACAGATGTTTTTAAGTTAAATTTTAATAAGGAGCAAACAAAACGTCCTCAAATGTGGCAAGCAGTGGTTGTGGTTATGGGACAGTATTGTATCGAGAACCGCACCTGTCTAGTTATATGCCTGAATGGGTTAGGGTTATGACCAGGCACGGTTCTGGATAGTCTCCGCGTATCCAAGAACGTGCATTTGCGTAAAGCACGGCTCTGGATACACGTGAACTATCCAGAACCGTGCTTGAGCATGTTTCTGGGTAGAGCACGGCTCTTGATATTACAGGGATACATGTACATGTATGTTCCTCTTGATACATAATGTAGTACAGGGGTATGTTCTTCTTGATATTACACTTATTACAGGGATACATGTATGTTCCTCTTGATACATAATGTATTACAGGGATATGTTCCTGTCTAGGAGGAGTGAATTTAACAGCACAAAAAATACATTAACTGCTCGACCGTTGTCATCGTGTCCTGTTTTTTTTAAATCTTAACTACATCCTGTATCACCCTTCTGCAGGAAGGTCTAGTGAAGTCTTGTTTAGCCATTTTTCGCTTTCCCGTATATACTTTTCGCAAGAATAACAAATAAATCTTTAGCTATTGCTGTAAGAATTGATCCAGATACAAATGTATTTATCAATACCACCACATGAAGAATGAACGTTGAAATGTACAAATGAATGAATGAATGGACGATAGAATGAACGAATACGTACCGTACGAGGCGCAAATCCGGATGGCGCCCTTAGTACAAGTCTGCCACAACCCGCTCTCCGCTCCTGCGTTCGACAGCCAAGCTGTTGTCGCTATCCCCACGATATACAACAGCAAGCCAATACCTGAGCTGGCCAAACCTCCTACAAGCCGGTTATTCATCGTGAAAATGTACCCTTAGTACGTTTGCAAACCGAGGAAAACTAGAAACCTTCACGTAGGATTGCTTCAGGCTTATCAAAAAGATTTTCTGTTAACACTAGACTAAGTAAGACACGCCCAAACGCGTAGGTGTGTTTGCCGTTTGTTTTAGGCGCCAAAACTACTAGGATTGGCTGGTTTCAAGGTCCGGAGACGCGTGTGCGTTTCTGACAGTGTAAATAAAAGATGGGCGTGTCGTAAGATTTTCAACACAGGCCGTAAGTTAGTCAAATCAGGGACATTGTGCCCTTGGTCAAAGGACGCAGCAAAATGTCATTCTTAGAATATGTCATCTAGCTTTTTGACGGTGGAAAAACTGTAGCCTGGTTACCAAATCTAATTTAGCAGTCTCTTTCTTTTAGAGGCAGCTACATAAAGTTTGGTAGCCAAGCTAGTAAAACTGTGGCTATGTGTGTAACTAAGACAGCAAATGACGGCACTCTAGTCTCTACGCCGAGGACGTCGGGCAGCTCTGTAGTTTACATCTAAACCGCAGGGCGACGTTGTTGTTTAAGGCCTTGCATTTTATAAACATTTATATTGTTTAAAACTCTGATCATGGACACATAGTTTTCTATTCACTTCCTCTTTCTATACGAATCGAATCGAATTTGAGTTACATTTGAGTCAAATTTGACAGCAAGTCACACTAGGAAGCAGGTTTGAGAGTCCATCTTTATTTGCGAACACCCGCAACCTCATTAAACATTATTGTTTTATAATGTGCAATTGCATAAAGTGTGTGAACAAAGCAACAAAAACGTAAGCATTGCTTTCTTGAAGAAAAGTGAAGATGATCTCGAACTATTCTATCTCAATACTTCTACTTGTTGTTGTTGACACGCTAAGATGCAAAAGCTGCGTAGACAACCGTTTTAAAGCTTAAACGCTTCACTTCAGGCCGGCAAAACTGGATTTCTAAAGTCAATTGCTTGTCATTCTTTTAATGTAGTAACGTTGAATCAACGGAACCACATATCTTGAGGCAAAAATGCGATGTCGCTGACGAAAATAGCTTTCTTATTTCGTACCGTAGCCTACTAGGCTGTATCTACCTATTTATGGGTGGTACCCCAAACATAAGGAAACTCCTCACGTAGCTTGTTTTGGGACTATTTCAATCGCTTCAGCTATGAATTCAAAATGATGACTGAAAAATGTGCTAAGAAAATGACATTGAATGTCAATATCAGACAGATTTACTCATGCAGAATATTTTTTCATTTTGCCGCCCTGAAATTGCATTGGATGCCTTTAAAGCTGGTGGACTCCATTGAGGACCAAAGCTAAGATGTCTGAGCCTCGAGCTCCACGTCCCTATGCCCGGCGACGATGATGGCTCCACCTCCCCCGATCGTGAAGAACGCCTGGACCCAGATCAGGTAGAAGGAGTAGCCGAAAGAGGTCGAGACGCCCTGAATCGACGTCGCCACATTTTCACTGGTAAAGATGGCGATTTGAGATTTTTTACAAATACGTATGATTCAAATTTGATACCTGCAGCAATGATCAGGCAACCGCCGACCTTCCTGTTTTTTTTTGGAGTTCTTTTTCATGGAGAAGCAGGTTCCAGCCACGCCGGTCAAGACCAGTGATGCTCCGATCACGGCGAAGGCACGGGTGGCGTTGAAAGTACTGGAAAGCTGACCGATATCTATAGAAAACAAATATTACGATTGTGTATTGTTGTGGGCAGACTTTTAACCCTATCTAGACCGGGGGGGGGGGCTTAAAGTGCCCGCGGCAACTTTGATGTCACCTAGCGTCTGAACGGCTAAAGCTAGAACCGCCAAATTTGGTGACTTTTCCTAAAATATTGTTGGCAACAAATCTGTATAAGTGGAATAAGATTATGATTTTTCTTGTTGCCATGGCAACGGGTTTCTGACAGGCATTTTTTGCCAAATTTAATTATTTCCATTTAAACAACAGAATTTTATGGGTTTATGTCAAGTTACACATTGTTTCTAACATTAATAACATCACATATAATTATATGTAAATTTTATCATTAAAAATGCATAATTTATGCTAATTTGATGACGTCATTGGCCAAAATCCAAGATGGCGGACCATATCATTAGATCAGGTAAATGCAGCTTATTTTCCTTAAAATTTCATCAATACTCCCATTTTTTTACAAAAAAGGTTCATATGAATGTCTTTAGTCTGTTTACAATGTATTTTAGGTTTCATCCTGAAAAAAAACTTTTTCAAAATTCAAGATTGATGATCCAAGATGGCGGATATGTAATATATGCATGACGTCATTTTATGACGTCACCGGTGTTGCTATGGGCAACATAAGACTTAGTACATCCTAATATTCTGTCATAAACACTTTTGGTAAAGTTATGTCGTATACTGTTTAGTTTTCAGGGAATAACCTATCTAGACGGTTTTGGCCAATAAAATCACATTAATGACGCCATAATGACGTCATATTACGTCACAACGACATAAAATTGTACGTATGATAAATTTTTACTAGTACATCATCCTCTGAAAATTTGGTGGTCCTACGATATACCGTTCTCGAGTTCTGAGGGGGGGGGCCGAATGAGCCCCCCCCCCGGTCCCACCAAGCCCAAAAAAGCCCGGTCTAGATAGGGTTAAACCTAGGCGTCCTCGCATGACGTATATAGACCAGCTGGCTGCCGATGTGGGACTACCAAAGGAGTACCTGGCGAGTGCCATGACGGACAGAATAGACTGGAGGGAGAGAGTCTGGGACCGGGAACCACCCCCGACCTGATGATGTATTGTTGTAAAGTGATAGGGTACTGTATTGTGGAAAAGAAGAAAACGGTCCGACGTTTGTGACAGCAAGGCACGTGGAGTGACAACAAGGCACGTGGAACGAAGTTTTTCATGGCGAATAAGGGTGGATACGTGTACCAAACTAAAAGTACAAATCTAACTGAGTTAATTCAATTACTAGCAATACTAAAAGAAAACTATCCGAAGTTTGTGACAGTGATCATGACAGTAAGGCACGTGGCTAATGGATACTGGGTGGCCAATTTGATTCTGTCTTCGGCCACCGAAATATCTACTAGTTGGAGATTAGTTAGGAATGAATATCAAACTTACTGTAGGCTGTGCAGACCTTCGCCCCCAAGGCTGTGTCACAAACCTGCCACAGTCCCGTTTCACTTTTCACCCCAAGTCCTTCAGCGGACGCCCAACCGGGGGTAACTATCCCCACCACGAACAAAACCATCCCGATAACAGAGCTGCCGATTCCGAACGCTAGAATTTTGTTCATCTTGTCTCAGCGCTGCGCGTTTTACGTCTACACAAAATCAGTAACACTTGTTGTTGACGCAAGTCGCTCTAAAAGTCAAGTCGGTGGTAGCTAGGGAGACCACGTCTTTAGCTCTTGGTTTGCCAATTGTGTGATAATAATTTATCACCCCTAACGATATTTTATTGGCTCTCCGAAAGGAGTACTGCCACCTTGTACTTGAATAGGTTTCCTACGATCCGGGGTAACGTATATAAGTGTTGTTAGGCAAATAGCTATAGTTACCTTACAAGCAAAAAAAAAAAAAAACGACAATATAACTAGAAAGGCCGACATTTGCTCGGGAGCAAATGCAGCAGATGGCTTCACCACACATCCCGGCCCCATGCAGCAATGGAATCTTCCAACGCCTTCTGCTGTTGGAACATGTACATGTAGATTGACAGGATCTATGCCACCCTGTATCTGCTTGAAGGCCAATGTGCATACACATCATGGTGAAAGGTAGACCTCTTGCGGAATTCATACGAACTGCAAAAGGCATGAGTGGTAAATGTGGAACAACCTATATTATTACTACCACTTTAATAAACCGGTCTTAGTTTGGCTGTTTATGTAATGAACAGTGAAGCCAGGAATGCAAGGAATCGAACCCATGTCCTCCTGGACTCTATCCACTCGGTTTCTGCAAGACCTCTCTGTAATACTTCCCTGTAGACCATTCTGGATTCTGGAAAAGAAGTCCAGATATTTGAGGGTTAAACCATTTATGTCACAATGTAACGTCACACATGTCGCCGATACGGCTGTAATGTTATTGGAGTAGACATCGTTTTCGCAATGCTGTAGCCAAGGTATCCCTACTGACCATGCCATGGCTTACAGAGACGTACCCGGCAGTCCAGGATAGTTCCTGTGGGTTTACTGAGAATAAAGGGTTTCCTGAAAAGGTAATGAACAGACAGTGTTCGAACTAGACTGCTTACGTCATGTCGGTCACGACTGTGTGGATTCAAAGCAATCTTCCCGACGGCCTTGCCTCATGGCGTGGAGTTCATGTCATGGGAAAAATGCACAAGAGGTTTACCCAGACTTGGACGACCGCCAACGTCGTCAGTCATCTGTTCTACAGGAAGAGTAAGCGCTGGTCCATCGACAATTTGCAACAACTTAGGAGTGGCAGGCCGTTCGGTGTCATATAAGTCGGAAGTCGGTACCGCCCCCCGTCTAGGTTGATAGAAGGTCGGTGTGTCCCAATGTAGATGGTCTCCTTCACTCCTCTCACAAAAAGAACGTGTCTACAGCAATTTTTTTATTCCAACATTTCATGACCAAACGTGGCGGCGGCACACTCAAGCTATATCAGCTTATTTTATGCCGCCACCAACACAGAGTACAAATACAGGACAGGACAATACTCATTTTCACTTGAGTTAAGTGAGGAAAGTCGTGTAAAGTGCCTTCCCCAAGGGCACAAGATCGGTGGCATGTCAGGACTCGAACCCGGGACCTCTTGGTTCCGAGCACTCTGCCTCTACGCCAAATGGCCTTACGCACTTGATTAAGGTAGCTGATGAAAACTGAGAGCTTCGATCGAAACTAAAAAGATACCACAAGGACATAATAAAGATTCTGGGTTAGGAATCGGGTGACCCAATCTAGGTTTGAGAGAAGGTTAAAGAGTAATAGATCCAGCCCACTTCAAAACTGACGGAATGCAAAGAAACATCGTGATCTTTACCCACAAAAGTCACATAGCATGTAGATTTATTCATTGTGGTCAACCTTACAGACGCAGTGGAAAGACCATGGCCTATTTCTTCTCCCGCTTCCAGTGATTCAATTTCTTTTGTGTTCTACACCAGCTACGATGGGACATAAAATATACATCAATCAGAATTAGTTGACCGTTCTTGTGAACCTGGATGGAGCAAATGCTGACAAATGTACGCCCTGCTGGGAATAGGATGGCATTCTGGCCGATTCCATTATTGAGGTAGACCGACTGTAAAGCCTTGCTGAGAAGGAAAGCACAATGGCAAACACCGCTAGATGTCTGTGAATAGGATCTGATACCGTGGACCAACAAAAAATGTTGCTGTATACTAAAGCTACTAGTGCGCTATTTTTTTCAAATGTCTAACATGTTGAATAATGCTATCGTCATGCCATGTCTCAAGTACCTGTCACACATTCACGAATTTAGCCTCCCGAACACAAGCCGAACGCCCCACAACCATGGTTAGGAGCGACTTCATCTAATACCAGAACACCAGCCAACCAATTAAGAGTCAACAGTGTTTGGGGCGTGGTCGGGGGTTAAACTTGACTCAAATTTAACTCAAACTTGGTACATAAAGAGCCCAGATACAATGAACCCGTAAATAATTCACATACTGTCCATATCGACTGTCTTCTCTGTCACGACCAGTGGAAAAGTTGCTCTTCAGTGAGCTAACTTGAAGCTGGCTCAAAACCAGTAACTTTTCACTTCCACGCACATTAAGTGGCCCCGATGAGGGTTACAGTCGTTGTGAAATATCCGTCCGTGCCCTTCGCAATCTGCCGGCAACTCCAGGTGTCCTGATTTGTAGCGGCAAGTGCTATTTCCGACACGGGGCGTCGTTTTGATTAACAGCCTAATGCCTCCATACATAACACACAGCACGCACACAACATATTGGGCTCTACACATGTTCACCCTTGGCATTTGATCGCTGGCATCGCACAGCCGCAAGTGATTACATTAAGAACTCCCTCAGTAAGCTTAATATGATAACCGTGAGCCCAGCAAATATTTGTGGAACACATTTGATCTTAAAAGGCATCCGATACAATTTCACGGTGGCAAAAGAAAAAAAATATTCTGGATGAGAAAATATGCCTGATATTGACATTTTATTGACATTTATGGCCATTTCTTAGCGGATTTTTGTCATCAAATGAAGCCCATAGATAGCTGGAACCGGACTACGATACAAAACAAGCAACCGTTTTCCGTTAGCTACAATTCATTTTTATCTCACAGATGTCAGTATGCTATGGGATAATCTGGATTCAACTTACTACATTAAAAGGATGACAACAAATGACTTGAAAATCCAGTTTCGTCGCTCTGAAATTGCTTTCAATGCCCTAAACTCAGCATTATGAGATAATGTAACCGGGTGGGTGTTTGGAAAGTCAATAGTGTATTTACTAACCAGAAGATCTGGATGAATGAAATGGTAAAAAATCCATTTATTTCTTTGCAAGATTAAAGTTCGGAAATGCTAAAAATTGTAAACGCAAACTGGCTGTATATGTCTTGATCGCGATACAACTCGGAGAATTCATATTTCTCAACTGTACGGCTGCAAATGGTAACTTTTCCTGTCAGTGACTAATAATTCACAACTTGGACAATATGAAATGCACTGTTCAAATATCACACACCTAAGAAATGAAAGAATGATGATATATTGAGAATGGTTCAGAAGGGTGGATAAGGTCGACCCAACTCTCACCACAGATGTGGCGAAAGGCAAAGAAAAAACATTGTACAAAATGTATAAAAGTAAATAATTTCCTCGGGTTTGTGAATGATTGAATAGCAAAGTTCTTTATTCACCACCACTTTTTTTCGGCTCCTTTAAGAAATAAAAAAAAATGTTGTGAATAAAGAACTTTGCTATATCACAAAATGTGCATCTTATAACGTATGTATATATATCACAAGATACACAAATGCACGGAAAACAATAAAAATATATGTATAACTACAAACCAAGTAAATAAAACCTACAAGAGGCTATATAGATGTAAGAAGAAACCAAAGAATAAACCACTATTAATTGTCTAACTTACAATTATTTCATCATCCGCTTCACCCCATCTACTGACATGTATTTATTCTACATTATTTGTAGTTTTCGCTGTTATATAATATACTTGTACATATATATGAATCATATTTTTTTAAGTTATAAGTTATATTTTTTTGAATGTTCCCTGTCTGCCTTCCAATTGTATTCTGCCAAGAACGCCCTTGGCATTGTTAGTAGCTATTGAATTGAAAGAAATAGTCTAACCCTCTAGTCCATGGATGATGGATTACCCTAGCATAGAAGAAATAGATGGCTCTGAATAAGTTGGTAGAGTGTCTCCAACAGGGCGTCCCTTAGTGGGTGTGCGTCCGGAAGTTCAAAGCAAAGTTCATGTCAACACATTTACCCTTAAGACGCCACATGCCCACCTGACCAACTTAAGGGCTACAATATCTGCCCACCTACCCGCTAGAGTAGATTCTACAGCCATTAGAAATGTCCCTAGCTGGTAACTTTCTTTATACATCCTTAAATCGGCTTCAAGTCTTCAGAGTGTTAGCGCAGTGATAGTAACTGTTTCTCCAGGGTAGTTCCTGGTAAAGCCAATATAAGTGCAGGGAAAGCTTGAGCAAACCGATCGTTATAGCTGGTCCTATGTATCAATTTGGAGATACCGTGGGATTCAGTTTAAGCTACCGAGACACCAGTAGGGTTTTAATAAAGGTAAAAGTTCCAGCATTGACGTATGTGCAAGGGATGTGTTTTCATGTCCGACTGCCACTTGGGATAGATGTAACTTCATCTGTGTAGAGTGGCATAGTCGTCACTGAGGAATGTGATATAAGACATTGGAAATGCTTGCGTTTGTCATACTGTAGTAGATACTCTCGTATGAGTTTACCGCCGTAAACCTCCTTGTGAGGAAAGCAGGGAAATTATTTCATGCTGCTTAGCAGCTTGACTGTTTAACATCGCCTATGCATGGTACCAGACGACTGGTTTGTCTATAGCTACGCCCCAATTCTACGCCCCCTGGCGGCTTGCTATGGCACTGTAGCGGAACTCCCGGTTTTGATATCTCATGATCTGGGCTGATATTTTGCATAGTAGATATCTTTTGGTAGACAGATTGTTCTTGAACGGCATGGAACTTGCTGAAAATGTGTTACCTTTAATCGTGGTTAATGACAGGGTCAAAAGATCTTGAAAAGTTTGAAAACAGCGCACACCAACGTACAAAAGCGTACAAGGATACCATTAACTATCACTAAA